ATCGTGGGGAAGGAGGAAGAAAAAACTTTGCAGTTCTAAAACATCGTAGTATAAAACATCATCAGCAAAAATAAAGCTATTCAAAGGCTTCATAGTTTAAAAACAACATCATCAAAAATATCAAGGTAAAAAATAAAGCACCTACATATCATCGCTTGACAATAACATCATAAATATATGCATTTTCAGGCTTTAAAAGTTGTAAATGCATATTTACGTAGTAATTTGTGAGCGTAAGAATGAATTATTGGCATTTTTCTATTAATATTTTTCAATAAATTAATAAATTTTTGCTGAAAAATTAAGAAGGAAACAAATATTCAGAAACTGAAAATGAATAGAAAACTAATGCTATGCTTATAGACAGAAATTCATAATTTAAGCAATTTTAATGGATTAATTGATTACCACATGCAGTTACTTATCTTCCTTTTTCTAAGCACTTTTAAACTAAATTTCACATGAAAAACCACAAATAATACTTTATAAAAGAGATTAATTAATTAATGACCTTTATCAAGGTCAAATAAAAGGACCGAAATAAAAGGTATTTTTAAAAATGACAGAAGGGAATAAAATGTTACTTTTCTAAAAAATAAAATTTAAACATAGTATCTTTATTTTATTGATAGTATATTAAATTTATTATACTGATAAACTATCATCATAACCTAACGATAAATGGCAGTCAAAAAAGTTTTGAAACATAATCAACTCGACTGTTAGTTAGAGATTACTTTTGACATGTAATTCTTCTATGTAGTGTTTTTATTTTAATTAAATTTACTTTGCTAAATGTAAAGTTTACATGGCCGTCTGGTTATAAATTGGCATCCTAACAATGGGCCTCAAAAATGTAAAAATTATTACCGAAAGCTGAGTGCAATTTTTTTCTTCGAGCTTTTTCTGCATTAAAGGAAGAAAATCACCCTGGTGATTTGGAAAATTTTGATTTTTGCCAACCTGGTAATAAACAACAGTGAAGGATTTATCCAGTGTCCTTGGGTTCATTGTAAAGCAATTATGCAGTGAGTAGGAATTATATTTTATACAAAGTTAAATTGATTATGATAGTTTAACATAGAGTGAAAGCATGTTTAATTTTGTAAATAAAAAGAAATAATAAGCAGAATTTAAACGTAGTGCAATTTTTAATACTTAAGTTAAGAAGTATCAAACTTTCCATTTATTTAAAAGTTATTTAAAATGCATTTGATGAGATTCGAGTTGAATATCTGGTCATAAGCCATTTTTTTTAAATCAACACTGTGATTACTTCTGAGGTGTTTTTAAATGATGATGTCTTTATCGAGAAGCGATGATGAGAATAATGATTATGTATCCTCTGATGATGACTTAAAAAATACACATAATTTTCCAGAAATGGTTTGTGATAAAGAATTAATTTTGAGTAAAAGAGATAAAGAATGTATGCCCATCAAATCAGCTGAAATATCAAAAATGAAAGAGAAACAGCAAACTGAAGATATCTGGAAAAATTTTATAAATGATGTTAAAGACTCTTTAACAAAAAAAAAAAAAAAAAAGAGAGAGATATTAATGCAACTACTGCAGAGGTAAATTTAAAATCAAATCATTTACAAAATGTTTCAAATTAAGTATGTAACTTTGCAGGAGAAGATAAAGCTTGTTCAGTTGCAGAATCCAGTTCTTAAAGTACCGACCATCAAAATGAATAAATGTGATAGCTTTAATGTACATTCTGTAATAGAAAATTCTTTTAAGAAAAGGAAAATGACAACACTTCAGAAATCATCATACGACTGGGACTTATTCTAGTGAACTTTTAATTTGTCGTAGTGAACTTTTTAATATTCTCTTAGAATTAGGAGAAGTTAAGAAACAAAATTCAAATTTAGGAAAGAAAAATAAATGGCTAAAAAATGTGTTGCATTAAGTGCAGCCGTCTAGCAAATGTAATGAAGAAACAAAATGCTAATTCCACATGCCTTTGAATAATTCTGAGATTTCAAAACTTTTACTTTCAAAGTTCCTTTTGCATTAGGATGGTTCTGATATTGTGATTTGGAAGGGAGAAAGCTTACTTCTAGAGTTCAAGAGTTGCTCTGGACTAGGGGGAGTCCCAACCCCATATCATGATTTCATTGAATAAGGAAAATAAATTTTATCTAAATTATATATATATATATATAATTCATGCAATAAATATAGCATTTATGAATGAACCTCTTGTCAAACTTTCCAGAAACATTTATGGGAATTTGAAGTGTTACAATGCAATATTGACTATCTTGCATACTGTAAAAATTGTATCTCTATCTTACGTAAAGAATTTCATCATGGCAAACAATAGTTGCGTAGATCTTGCAAAGCATGAGGTTGTTGGATGCAAGAACTGCAATGTTAAAAAAGACAAAAAGACTGACTTTTACTGAAAGTTGAGGGGAAACCACGACCTACAGCAAAGAAAACTGAAGGTCTAATGATCTTGAAAGTTGGGATCAGCTCAGTAAAATTTCAGTAGAATCACCCTGAGTCTATGCAGTTTTAAACGAATCATCTGGATTCTCTGTTAAATTAATCATCCCGATTCAGTGAAGCTCGAGTGGAATAACCCTGATTCCATGTTATATGAATCATCCCGATTCAGTAAAGATTGAGTGGAATAACCCCGATTCCATATTAAATAAATCATCCCAATTCAGCGAAGTTTCTGAGAATCATCCTGATTCTGTGCCGTTAAATCAATCATTCCAATTCAGTGATTGAACAATAAGTCTAAAGTTAAATAAGTGTCATCAATGCTTTTAAATTCATTGGCATTTGCTTTAATTAGTTCACAAAAGTTTGTCTTCTGTGTCCAAATTATGGCATTTTTTTTATCTTCCACAAAATGGGCAATGCTAAATATGTAATACTTACTGATACTGGTAATGAATCGAGTGCTGAAGATGAACTGTCGATTTCTTTAGAACTGATTCATCATATAGAAAAATTAGAGACTCAAGAATTTGCCTACGCAATTCTGTTTACAGAACAAATTGTTCAACATATGGCTGACTGTAGGCATGAAGTAAATACTGTAGAACAGATTACTTCTACTATTACACGAATCCTTTTGATTCATTATTCAAGTGGGACAAAGAGAAGTTGTATGAAAGATATTATGACAGTGATCAAGATGCACATTTTAAAGCATAATTAATACATAGAAGAAGCTTCCAAAACTCATCATCAAAAGATTCCCGGTTTACGCCTCATACAGATGAATGTGAAATATCTTGTGGATTCTTCATTGAGAAGTCTATAACCTAACAGTAAAGGGCAACTGTTAGAAAAGTTTTGAAAAATAATCATCTCAATTGTTAGTTAAGAAATTCAACAGATTTTTGCATGGACGTAACTTTTCCTCTTATCCAAGAGGAAATTGTCTATGTTACTTTTATTACTTTTGACATGTAATTCTTCTGTATAGTGTTATTTTAATTAAATTAACTTTGTTAAACGTAAAATTTACATGGCTGTCTGGTTATATCATGAAATTTAAGCACCAAATCAAAATTTCTGTAGATAAATTGTTTCTAAAATGACCAATATATTGATAAATCGCCAAATCTGGTATGCACAATAAGATTTTATTTCAAATGTAGAGAACTTGTTATTAATGCAATAAAGAGAATTCATTGTAACTCGTTATGCTTTCCAGAAGTATACACTTAACTATTGATATGGCAAAAAATAAATTTGTTACAGTGGTTGGTGTCTTTACAAAAAAAATCACAAAATTACCGTAATTTCGCGCGTATAGTCCGCGGACTATCTGTGTTTAAAATGTGAATTTTTGAAGCTGCGGACTATCCACCAGTGCGGATAATACGCTGGTTGTTCACGGTTAAAATTGTTGAAATTTAAAAAACACGCTGTCGTGAACTGCTGATTATCAAATATAAAAAAAACGTGAGATTCCAAGTATCCTTCGCACTGCTTTAGCGCAACTACCGGGAGGGGGAAAAGTAGTTGATTTGTCAAGTTCAGTTTTTAAGAGCCATAGTAGCAATTACCTGGAGCACGAAAAAAAAAGCGTGATTCGTTTACTCATAACGTGGTTTGATGCAACACCTGAGTGAGTGGGGTTGAAGGTCAAATTTCATTACCACTTATCACGAGGATAGAACGTTGCACAGTATTTTATTTTGTTTTCGTATTTTGTCTTTTATCTTCGATAACGTTGATGAAACATCCCCGGAGTTTTACTGCTGTTGAGTTAAACTCAAGTTAGTTGAGAAAGCTGAAAAAGATGGAAATAGAGAAGCGGGCCGTTATTGGTTTAATCCTAGTATCCGGTGCACACGGGATTTGACTACTTTGGCGACTTTATGATGGCAGTAAAAACGGACATATACGATGATAGTTACGGTCATTCAAGAAAATTATAGTTAAACATAGTATATACTATGTAATAGTTATATAACTATGCGTGTATAGTATATATATAGACGTTCTTTGGATCATTTTTGGTGTTGGCGATAATTTTCAAAGTCGCGCCAAGGCTGCACCATATACTAGATTTTTACTCCGTTATTTTGAGTGGACAAGAAAGCGGTGAGAAATTTGCGCAAACAAAAGGATGTGTTTAAAAAGCATGGGAATATTGCCGTATTAAAAAAACGTAATTTCGGACGTATAGTCCGCGGACTATCCGGTGGTGCGGACTATCTGACAATTTTTAAAATTTTTTTTATATAAAATCGTGTCTGCGGACTATAAGTGCGAAATTACGGTAATAAAAAATGAAGTTTACGTTCAAAATGTTAAAACTAGAGTAAAAATTACAAAACGTGTGTAATAGCTGATAGATATGAATCAGTCATTTGAATAAATTTAAATCCTATATCCGATGTTTTTAAACACACAAAAATATTTACTTGTTAAATTTGTTAGACAGCAATCATAAATGAAAATAAGTGAAACAGAATGTTGGCAAAATACTTATTTTCACTAATAAAAATTTCTGAACATTAATCAATACAATAACAACTTTATTACACCTTTCTGTACAGAACAAATAACTTAAAATTGTACTTTGTTACAATGACGGCAGATACAATTCAAATTCAACTCTAGAGATCATATAATACATTTTTCACGCAACACCAACAAAGTTAATAAAATTTGTATAATATATGTTATGACTAGTAGAGCCATAGTTAAGTACTACTCAAAAGTTTAAGAGAAAACATAGTTCAATGTATGAAGATTCTGAGCAGAAATTCTCTCATCATCATTCTTTGTTCGTAAAGCAAAGTTATCGCTCTATGTAACAACTGCAACAACAATGCAGTTCAACAACATTAAGAAATAGGACTAATTTTATTCCAACATTACTGATTAAATATAATTTCTTATGGGATTTAAAAACCATGCACAAAATATGTTACAAATAATAAATGCATTTCAGTAATAAATGCAATTTAAATAAACAGTTTCAGTAACAAAAAATAACTCACTTGAACATGAATTTAAAAAAAAAAAAAAATGACACTTCTTGAGTTTAAAATTTTCTGTAAAATACAGCTTTTGATAATAGCATAAATATAACATTAAAAATAGTCTTTCAGTTAGGATAAACAATATTTTGCTCATTTTAAAAAGACAGCCAAAGTAGAATTCAAATTTCAGAGGTGCACAAAGATAAAAATTTTACCAAATATATAAAAAAAAAAAAGCAGTTTTTCATACTCGATGCCAAATTATCTATTACTATGCTCATTCTGTGCCCACAGGAGTTGACTTAAAACAACCCACCCACCCTTTTTTTTTTTTGTCAAAAATAATTTATTATGGCATGTAAGATAATTAATCAAAAGAGAAATGCTATATAATTGGACTTATGATGCTACCTTCATAAAAGTGCTTTAACTGAGTTTTGATACTTTGCTTATTGCATTTTAAAATATAACTATAATTAGGCTGAGTTTATTTTTAAACAGTTTTTAGCATTCAGAATTAATTTTTTGGGGCTAATGGGATAGGAGTCTTTAAATCCTCCTAGAACTAACTAATCTACAATATGTAATTCCCCCCTCCAATTTCAGATTTTAAGAATATAAAATTAGAAGCAGAACCTGTCACAGGAAATGATTTTTCATAGATTAAAAGAAATTTGATTTTTTAATTCTACAATTTTTTCATATATTTGATTACTGAATTGATAAACTATTCATTTGCATTAATTTTGTTTTATCTCTAATTAGTTTATAACAAAATCAAAAAAACAATTCTTTACTCTCTTTTTTTCAGCTTTCAGAAAAAGACCACGATCCTAATTTAAAATGTGCAAATTTATATTTTATGTAACAAATACTAAATTAAAACCATTAAAACAAAATACATAAAAAGAGAAAATATATTTTGTTTACGTACCTTTGAATAAAAAAATATTAAATTAAAAGGTTATCTCACGAAATACTTTATATGAAATGTAACAGGAATCACTGAAAGTTACCACATCGAAAAAATTAGAGGGAGGAGGTTTCTGATTTCATACATCAGGTCCCATTACCATTCAGATGGCAATGTATCACCAGTTGAAAGAAGAAAGAAAATTTAAAACAAAAAGTACACAGCATCTTTTCAGAAATAGTGAGTAAAAGACAATTTCATATAAAATGATGTAACGGTTTTTACATCATACATTAACTGCAATGCAGGATACAAGATTAATATATATGATTTTTCAAATAAAATATATTCAAAATTTCCAATTATTGAATATTAGAGAGAGCCTGAAAATTAAAAAAAAAAATTCCAAAATCTTATTTTCATTCAGTTGACTTCAAAAATTCTAACCACAGCAAAATATCTCTCTTCCCTCATGATACTGTATGTACAGTATTATTTTTTTTTTTTCTTTTCCCCTTTAAATGTAGACAGAATTTAACATTTATAATGAAGATTAATACTATTTCCAAGGAATTAGGAACTATTTGCTGAAATACGTTTTGAACGGAAAGCTTCTCATTCAGAATTTTAGAGTAATTGTACTCAAAACAAACTGAATACTTCATTATTATAAAAATACAGAAATCAGTCAGAAAACTTTATTTTACAGAATTTATAAATACTTTTCTAGCATTTGATATAGCTACAGACAGTGAGTGGATAATAGGTGTCATGAATTGTGCATTCATAATTATTAAATTTTCTTCTGAACGTTTACAAATAGCATTATAAAATTAATTTATTTTGCACCTCTGTAAAATTGCAATCTACAAAACTATACTCAGTCAATGTAATTATTTGTTGAAATACAACTATTTATTTTCACAGAATAGATACAAAACCTAGCATTCCTGTAGTTATCTCTGAACCATATAATGAAATAACTCTGATTAATATTATAAATGAAAACAAAATTAATTCAACAATCCACTAATAAGAGATATACTAATTACTTGCATTTGATCAGATAAATTAAGTATACATCTCAAATACTAACAGCAAAAAATATTTTGGAAAATAAGATATTGCATAAAACAAACAATTGTAACACTACCAATAAATGACTAGATACACAAGGAAAAGGCTTTAAATGCTTCATAATTATATTTGCATTCTTTAAAATATTGTACAGTCAACTCCCTAATGATGACATTTAAATTACAAGAAAGGGAATTCATTTTGTACTGTAATTTGAAGAAAAATACTATTCACAGTTTATCATTGCTTTTAGACAATTTAACCTGCAGAGTGTATTAATTTAGTTGTAAAACTTAAATCGGTATTAAAAAGAACAAACTGTAAATAATGACAGAATAAATATCATTAGAAATTAACTATATTATAAAAGCAGTTTATGAGCAATATTTTGCAAAAGAAGTTGAACAGTGTTATGGAGATCAAAATCATGTAAAAAGGGTTGATTAAAATTTGTTCAATGCTTATATTCAGGATCATGTACAATTAAATTATGAACTGTTGTCGATAAAAATAACTCTGAAATAATATGACATCATCTGTTAGCATTGATTTTATGCTGATGGCCTGCAATAGTAATTTTCTCATTATTTTACAATAAACAAACTTTTTTTTTTTGTTGAAAGAATGTGATTAATTCACTCTAGATAACTGGGAGTTAACTGTATATTTAAATTCAACAAAAATATTTATTTTAAAGTAAAATTAAAATATTTACCATTATTTTGTCTTGCTTTTCATCTATGACAAACTTTATTATCAAAGAAATATAATTACTAGTTCTCCCAGTAAAATTTGATTTTAAAGGAGCATAATTTGGCTTGCCCAAAATTCAAATGCAAGGACAAACAAAGATCATACAAATAAAGACATAACATGAAATAAAATTGAACAGTTTCTTTAAAATAGTTATAGCACCATAAAAGAAAATAATGTAAAGTATTAATTAGAAACTTAACACAACTTTTCTAATAAATCATGGATAAAGGGGTTTGTGTATATTATATACATATATATAAATATAATTCTAATAAAAAAACTCTAGAAGCTCATAATTTATCAGGAACAAGGTTTAACAGAATTGTGAGATCATATACATACAACAAAGTCGATTAAAATCATACTTATATACTTCCTGTTAAAACACACATCATTTCAGGGAAAAAATAAAACATGAACAATAAGAATTCATATGGATTGGGAAAATACATTTTACCTCACATCCACAGAATCAACAAGTATTTCGGAATTCATCCCTTAGAACTTTCCATATAAATTACACTTAAAACATTCCAGTTAATTGTCTTTTTGATCTTTCACAATCACACACATGAAATATGTTCGTCTTTCTAAGCAAATGCAAAGAATGACATGCAAAGAGAATGACCTTTCTTCACACATTTTGCTTCTTTCAATTCATCACCTACAAATACAAAATTAAGAATCCTAAATATCAAATGCTGTTAAATAAAAATGATAATGAAAGAAAAAGACATTAAAAAGTAGTTTGAAGATTAATACAGTAATGTGAAATAAACATATTAAATAAAGGATGATTATAAACTGTCTGGTAAAAATTAGAACAGAGGTAAAAGCAGATTTTGCAATAAACTGTATGTGTGGAAATGGCATGTGTAAGTTCTGGCAAATAAGGAATGCATGAACAAGCAACTGTAAATTTAAAAAAAAAAAAAGTCAGTGATTCAGCTTTTCACAGTTAGGCGCTCAAAACTCCAACCACTAATAATACCAGAATGCCGCCCAGTCGGTATAGTGGTTAGGGAAGCTGACTGCGATACCGAAGGGCCTGTGTTCGAATCCCAGAGAAGGCATGGTTGTAACTGTTTGTCCCTTCATAGGAGGCGATGGTGGCCCAACTATTAAATCCCTCCATAATAAAAGACCACATCTGGCCTTGCATAGATTAATAGACTGGGTTACACTGTAACTGTTCACAATCTGCCATTGGGGGGGAAAAAAAATAATAATACCAGAATCACAGCATGATGCATGAATTGACACATACAGTACAGAGTCATTGAGACTTCTTAAATGTATGAATTTTTATTTTATTTTTTTAATTTAAGTCAGAAATACATTAGAATTGATATCAAATAAAATAGGAAAAATACTAAAAAAAAAAAATCTAAGCTAAGTTTTTATTATAATTTTTGAAACAATATTATTGTTGCCAAATGGCTACATTATGGGAAAAAAAAAGAGAGATAGGCAAACGTGTAATAACAATTTTATGTAATAATACATACCTTTTAAAATCTTTCAAACAATTTTAAAACTTTGAATACATCAAAATAACAAAAAACACAAAATCAAAAATTTGTAAACACAAATGATGTCCACACCCTAGATATGAACTTGCAATAATGACCGTTACACCAGTGTTACACTGAAACTTTCAAAAGTATATACGTAATCAGTATGCATCCAATTGATTATACCATGCAGTAAGCTAAAATTTGTGTTTTGATTTGATTTATATGACTAAATATGAGTATGCTGCCAAAGTGGCAACTACATTTAAGGGTTAAAGTTATGTGAATTTATGATAAACAGTACTACTAACGAATCAAGATATGACAAATAAATACTAAACGCATTAAGTAGTAGATAAATAAAACCTGCCTATTCTCCAAATATTTGAGTGTCTAATTTTAATTCCAAAAGCAAGAGTCCTCTATGGCAAATAGGAAGGTATATGTTATCTTGACACGGTTGAGAATAGGTCATTGTCGACTAACTCATGAAAGGCGAGAAGAATCCTGTTGCACAAACTGTAATGAAGATATGACAGTCCACCATATTTTATTAGAATATCATAGCTTCGATTATCTTAGCCAAATACATTTTTTATGTTGAAAATTAGATTTAGAAACTCAATAGAGAAAAACTATTATCACAATTTGTTGCAGTTTTTAAAGGATACTGACTTCTATTATAAACTAATCTGTTTTTACCTCACCTAAAATATACATAAATTGTCCACATGAAGCTTTTAGCATACTTTTTATTCACTTTTTTACCTTTGTTTGGCATAGATAATTTGTAAAAATTTGTGCCAGAAACTACAATAAATTGAATCGAAAAGCAAAAAATGTCTCAAATGATATTACTTTATGTACTTTATATATAAAATATGATGTTGAGTCAAATATAATTAGACATTAATACGTGTGAAAGTCTGAAGATGAGATTCAAGATGCTCACTGTCAAAAAAATTGACTAAGCATTCTGGCATTAACCAGTGGCCACATGTGGCTCGGAAGGCCAGGGACACCATCCAGCGACTGGGCTGGGAGACACTACCCCAACCACCATACTTCCGAGACTACCACCTTTTCCATTCCCTGGACACCTATCTTCGGGGGAAATCCTTTAACAACCACCAGACCTTGAAAGGGCCCTCATGGACTTCTTTGTGTCCAAGACTCTTGAGTTTTACCAAGATGGCATTACACAGCTAGCCACTCATTGTCAAAAGGCACTGGATGCCAATGGTGATTACTTTGAGGATTAGCAGTGATTATTATTTGTTTTATGACTTTTTCTTTCTGACTGCCCAAAATGGCAAGAACTTTTTTACCTTGTATACGTTAATGTTGTAAGCTGAAATAACCTCCTTTAATAACATCGAGAAAAGAGGCTGCATCCCAACGACTACAAAAGAACTGTAGAGTATTAATTGTTGTCACCACATTCGATAAATTCTGAAAAATGCTATACATTAATATTATAAGCTGAAATAACCTCCTATAATAACATTGAGAAGAGGGGCTGCATCACAACAACTACAAAGGAACTGTAGAGTATTAATTGATGTCACCACATTCGATAAATTCTGAAAAATGCTGTTCCCAAACAGAAGTTTTAAAAGCAGAAATTCAGGCAGAGCACCACTAGATCTGACTATAATACTAAAGCAGTCTTTTCACTATAACTTAGTAAACTTAGCATTTTTCACATTCACATTATAGAAGACACTGGAAGTTTATATTACACTTTCATATAACCTTTAATTAATATAATACTTTTATTAAAGGGAAAATATTCAGTTTTAAAACAGGATATATTTTTTAAATATCACTTCATTATTCATAGGCTTTTTACAGATCAAAGAAAATAAATCCTTTATTTTCACAAAAGGGGAGAAAAAGCAATATCAGACATTTACGGTTACAAGACTTACTGCTGACAATTACAAGACAATCTTAATTTTAAATTAGCTTGTTTAACATACAGTGAAACCTGATATTTTAATCACACGATTTTGAACTTACAATCACATTTCTTTGCTTTAGCAAAAAATTTTTTAAAAGTGTTATGCTTTAAAGATGTATTTTAATTTTGAATATTTAACCATATAAATATTTTTTAATTCTAAAAGGGGTGGGAAACATTCTTTTACCTTCGAGCCTTCCTAGAAAAATGTTTCACATTTCAGATGGTCATCTTCTTAGGAAACATGCTATTACTATTCCAATGAAAAGTAATAAATTGTTGACATTTAATTCAAAACTTTTCTGAGTAGCAGATCCTTCAATGTTCTGAACGACTGCTTGCTTTTCTCCTATTACAGGAAATACATAAATATAACTATTTCAACACACACAGAAAGATTATCTCCTTAAATATTAATTTTATAACAAACATTATCTCAACATGCATTTAAAAAATAAAAGCGAATATCAAAGAAATGAGAAAAAGCAAACTACTTAATTTCATAATTTTAATGTACAAAGAAATACATATATCTGGTTGTAACGAAAATTTTCCGCCAAAAAATTTTCTTAATAAAGCTAAGGGGAAAAAACATGAAAGCAGTACCTTTAGTAACAGTAGTAATTACCACCAAAATCTATGATTTTTCAGGCAACATTTTGGCAGTTTTTTAAAGCCTTCGGCCCAGAAACTTGGTGGCCACAAGTCCAAAAACGTATCAACCTCATTTCGAATGTCCTGCGCAGAATAAAAGGTAGCACCAGCAAAATGTAGCTGTAGGTGTGAAAAAAGGTAAAATTCCATAGGAGTGGCAAAAGATCCCATTTGAGTCACATACAGTTCAACGTTTTTACCTGATAGCAGCATTAACACAGACTATCATCTCATTGTACACATTACTGTCGAGGGTTTTACCTTTTCACAGATACTTTGTGGATAATACCACACCAATCCTACCACATACAAAGCATTTTCTTTTTGTTACTCAAACTGCACTCTGCGACACTACCGACAGACTCATCAGTTGCAGACCAACTTCCTTTTCGGCCTGTGAAGTAAATCCACTTTTCATTACAGTGTGACTAATGAACATGGCACTAATGTCTAACTCCTTAGCAAGCTCTCGAGTGGCTGCATACTGATCTTCCAAAAGTTCTTGTAGGTGGACCTCATCAACATCAGCAAGCTGGCCAGACTGCTCTGTTTCTTGAATGCCGTAGTCCTGGTTTTTGAACTTTCATTACCAAACCTTCACACTGTCATATGATACAACATTAGTACCTAAAACTATACACATGATTTGGTGACATTCTTTAGCTAACTCTTTGCAACAGAACTGGAATTAAATGATGGTTTCTAATCTGATAGCGTGATAGTTCCATTTCAGACACCTTGTACTTAATGAAAACAACAATTTTTTTGCAAATTTCACAACACAGTGTTCTAAAGAAAGTCTCTTTCTTTCAAATGCCAAAAAATCATTTGACAAAATAGGATTAAACTTGACAACGCAAATTTTTTGAGCAGACAATATTTGCAGTGGCGGGAAACTTTCGTTAAAAGCTGATATTATAGATGATAATAACCTCATATTCATAAAATGAGCACAGAGCATACATATGGATCAAAATCTTAATGAACAAAATTACAAATAAAATATTAATTTTAATTAATGCAAGGTATGTTCTAGAATTGTAATTTTACATTTGCAAATACATAAGCAAACAGACAACAGTAAAGCTTTTGATAAAATTCCAGTCAGCAAAATGCAAAATAAAGAGAAAGTTTTTAATTAACTTCTCAGAAGTAATCCTTTCTCATAAACAAAATATAGGCAGGACAACAAAGGGCTATTCTGCAGTTCTATATAAAATAAAAATACATTACAAACCACCCTTCTGTTCAAGAAGTGGTCTTGAAACATCCTTCCTGCCACTTTAAATCGGAAGACTTTTGAAAAAAATGTGTACACCACATGAGTTCCTTGTACAGAATATTAAATTATACGCAAATTTTCCTGGATTTCATTTAAACTTATTTCCTCGAATTTCATTAGAGATATATTTCTCACTCAATTAATTTAGTTCTCACTTCGTGGCAAGGCAAAAATACATAAAAACTCAAAATATCTTCATTAAAAATTGAATATTTCCTTTTGGTCCCACTCGGCAAAAAGACACTGAAGGTGCAGAAAGTTTTAATTCACTATTCTGCTAAGTTTCAAATATAAACAAATGTGGCTTCTATGGTAAAAAAAAAAAAAAAAAAAAAAAAAAATTAGGCTTGGCCGCACTTAAACAACTTTTAATTTATTGGTAATTCTACAACTATTGCAAGCAGATCAACTAAAGACATAAAAACCTTCACCAAAAGATAAGAATAACATAATTCAATCATTTTTAAAGCAAAAAATGCACAAAAGAGGTCTTTATTCTGTCCTTATGTACAGATGTCATGCAAAAACATCATTAAATTGCATTCAATGGAGGTCAAAATGGATATTTTTGTTGAAATATGAGACCTGCAATTTTTCGTGATTACAATACTTCCTTTACTCCTATACAGACATTGAATGCATCTGCAATAAGTTTTTGCTTTTAATAAAGTGAAACTAAAAGTTTCATTACATTTATTATTTTGTTTAATTTTTCCAATCAATATATTTAAAAATTGTCGAATGTAAAAGGAAAACACATTTTAAAGCATTAATTATTTTTAAATAACATAACTTTAAATATATGTTATTATTTAAGTATAGAGCAATGTTTGCACTATATGGCAAAATACGGCACACAATTTTTTTTTCTCCAAAGATGCACATGTCACCACATTCTTCCAAGAAAACTTTCTTGCTTATTTTGCCATCAGTTCATTTCGACAATGGTATAGTTAAACATATAAAATATATCTTTAAGGTTGATAATTTCAATAAATAAAGAAAAGGATGGAATGATATACTCAGAAATGCATTATTGGCAACATTTGCTTAGAAAACAAGAATGCTATATAAGATGAGAACATTTTAATTTAATGATGGCTACTAGGCAAACCTGGCACATATATCTTTTTCTAGAAAATTGATGTATGTAGTCCTGTAATGGAAAAGCTCTTAAAGTTATTACACTTGCTAAGGAAAACATTGTGAAATCCACAAATCATTATATCAATAATTTTCAATTTCAGTTCATTTTAGTATTGCCAACATGCTGAAGTGTCGTTAAAGATGGCAACACACAGCATAAGGATTTACATTCCAAAGCACATAGATTTTTATTTTCAATACAATAAAAAGCATAAATTTAAACATAACTAAAAAAAACTGCCAAGAATTTGAACTTCAAATATAGACATGCTGATAAATTCCCAAACCGGCACAATTTTTAGCACATTTACAAAAAATTGCTGTACCTTTCTGTTAAAGCACTGTAGACATTTTTTGGGGAAAAGGGGGTATATTTCTTTAAAGCCAGACATCGGCACTTTCATTTAAATGTGGCTTAAAGCTGGAATGACTATGCAGCCTCATTCTTGCAGTAAATAAAGGTGTCCGAATACAAACATAGTTTGCTAGATCGTTACATTCCTTGCATTCACATCAAGAGTTAACTTTTATTGAATTTTGTGAACCAAAGTTCTTTACATTTCCTTGCTTCAAATGAATTGCACCACAATAGTTGATTGGAATAATTACATGACAAAAGTATGTACCAAGTTCTTATTTTATCTTTTTCTTAATCTTAATTTCTTATGCATTAGTTATGGTAAAGCATAATGTAATAACACACTCGTAATATCTGCCTTTCATATGTGCATTAAAATTTGACACCTGCCTTCTACAGAAGAGTAACATGTGCACTATTCCAAAGTTATAACATCTCACCATACAAAAAATGTGTTAATCTATAACCGTCAGCTGAATATGAAGCTGCCAAACAGGCATAGCGGTTAGTGTCGCTGACTGATGTGACGGAGGAATCCTGGGGAAGGCACGGCTGTTTGTAAATGTATAGTGTCGTTATGGCATGGAGGCACTCTAAATATACGGTAAGAGTATATTAGGCACTCTAAATATGCTGTGAGGAACGAGAAATGGAGGCACTCTACATGGAAACGAGAAGATAGAACTTTCACACAAGAGCCGAAAGTTCTTTCGTGCTCTTTGGTGGAAGGAGAGAAGAGTGGGAGACCCTCGGACCTGTCTCCACACGTTGCTTTCCATTAAAATTGGGTGCGGAACTGAGCTAAATTGCACTGTCACCTATATGGTGCTCAAGGTTGTAAACTTGCACTCCTTGCCACAAGGAATTTTGTATGCCTGGGCTGACTATGTCAGACAAGTGAGCATAAGTAACAACAACAGCTGAAAATGACTGACAAAACAGTAACAGATCAGAACAATTACCTGCGGGAAATTTGTATTTATATTGTTCTAAACACAGCTTCTGGTAAAATGGGAAAACTTAATCTTGAAATTTGAGAACATTTTCCTTTTTGCTGTTCCCCATGGTTCTATTTAATCTAGCACTGAGAAAAAAGTGTGTGTGAGGGGGGGGGAAATAAGTGTTGCATGGCTTTAATATAAAAGTATCAAAATTACTGCAAAACATGAATTTTTCTAGAAATTTTAAAAAAAAAAAATTATTTGGCAAATAAAAAAATGTAACAATTTTTCACAAATAAACAATTTGAGTGGGCTGAATCAAACAATTCAAAGCCTGCAATATATTTTAAAGGTTGATCTTTACATTATGGTAACTTGGCGTTTTTTTGGCGAAAATTTGGTGACCAACTCTCCTACAGCAACCCTCTATTTTTTTTTCCCGCCGCCATTTTGTCTTCACGAAGTAAAGACATGTTTCTTTTCTTTTTATCTACTGAACACTTCTTCCAACAATCTACTAGCCGAATAACACTTATGCTAGAAATTTTATCTAACAAAACTGCTTAATCATGACAAATATTCACTGCAAAATTGGGAAAAAGTGCACAATACCATACTCCCTACGCGTTTTTTTCAAAATAAACACATACACATAAACCATGTACATGCCGACTTATTTTTACTTAAAAAAAATCCCAGAATTGCACACAAAATGGCATTGCGCACACTCTTCACTATATCCATGTACACTGCTTTTTTCTCATAAATTAGAAAAATTTCATGAAAATACATGACAATTTTCTCAATCTTTTTAAACCCGGTAAAAGAACATATATGAAATTACCTGATCGCGAAAAAGTATTTACCCTTTCCAATATGAATATTTCCACATATAAAATAAATAAAATATCCAAAAACTTTTACCTTTAAATCATCTATTACATTATACATGTCACCAATGAATTCAT